AGGTCAACTGGAACTCCCTCATGCAGACCTATCCAGTGGAAGTCCGTAACACCCGAAGGCAACAATCTACTGGTTAGAGACACGGTACATCATATGTACCACTACACATACAAATATGCATGAACATGTTATAATATACTACCAACATACACCTCCAACCACTACCTCCAAGAGGCATGGTAGAGCACACACTGGGACTAAACCCCAGTACCAAGGGATTACCTGATGCCAACTCCCTTTCTTGGTAGCTCCAACTCACATTGCCACCGAGCTTGGTCCACAAGAAATGCCTACACATAGGCCATTTCCATTACAATTATAATCAACCAAGACATATACATGCTTATTACAGTATTCATGCATATATTCATAACAACTCACCACAATCCCTTTGGTCAAGGACCAAAGGCAACCCACCAAGCTCAAAGCTCCGAATTTACGTCTGTAGGAGGCAACCTACAATGATCACACAAGGATAATCAATACAAAGTGCAACCAACTAATCACAAAGCACCAAAGATCACTCCCCCATGAGCATAGGTTCGGCCAATGGCCTTAAATTTAAAAAACCATTTTCTTACTTTTATTTCAATTTACCATTAACATCCCAATGTTTCCACAACACTCATTCAAGCCTTTAATTCCATTTAATATCAACCTAGCACCATTCTCTCTAATTTTCCTTAAATGGCCGAAACACATACACACACATCACCTAATAATTTTCCTTCCAATTCAATGCATCAACTCAACATACAACTCATTTAAACACCATTCACATTCACACAACATCCATTACACAATTTTTACATCATCCATCCTTATTTCCCCTCATTGGCCGAATTCATCATGCAAGGCTACCAAGGGATTTCCAACTCATTTCAACACTTCCATACATCATACAATCCTATAATCAACTCATACAAACACTCCACAACTCAATTACACAATCCTACAACATATCAATTTCACAAAGTGTTGAAATCCCAACTCAAAATTTCCTAAGTTATACAATTATTTTCTCAATAATTTTTATGGTTTCTATCACTATAAAACATCATTCTAAGTCACTCTTATCTAATACACATTTTCAATTTGAGCTCTCTAACTATATCAATCCATGCACACTAACCCTAGGTTCATAAATTTCAATCCAATGAAAACTCAATAAAAGAGTGGGATTACTTACCACCAACAACCCAAGAATGGAAAGGAAGAAGCTCTTCAAGCTCCCATGAGCTCCAATACACCAAAATCCCCAAAAACTTTAATAATTTTGCAACTGAAAATGGGTAGTATCTCCCTCTACACTGCACCAAACTCAAAAATAAGGACAAAAATAGATTCCTTGCAAAATTTTAAGTGAGTTAGGCTTTGAAACCACTCAATTTGGTGGCCTAGAACTTAAGTTATAATTGTTTGAAGTTCTCAAAACCCTGACCATGGTGACCCACGAATTTGCAGCTGTAAAGGAAGGGGATGAGTTTCAAATTCTTATTTCCACATGTGCTTAAATGGTCATTTAAGTGGGGGTGGGTCCCACAAGTGCCACCTCACTCAAAACTCACTTAAACTCATTTAATCTCACCATTAATCTTTGATTAATTCACAACCTATTTATAAAATCCAAAATTCAACATTCAACAAAGTCCTTTAATTATACTTGATCAGATGAATCCAGAGTTTTTCGGTCATTTGGTGAAATTACAGTTTTAAGCTGATATGTGCACTGTTGACACGTTTCCCCAAAACCCTAATTTTAATCAAATTTCACCAGTAATCATAATTCTTAGTCCTACGTACCATTTATAACTTATTTCCAAACCTAGAGCTCAAAATTCATTCGACGCGCTTTACGATGCAATTGTACCGCGATATTTTTACCCGGTAAAAACACTATTCATCAAATTTTCAGATTCTTTAACCACTCAATTTTTCGTTCTGAATCCATTTCTAGGGTTAGTTTTTCCATTTGAGACCTTCTACTCAAATTTCCTTTCCTAGGGTTACGTGTTTGGCAAATTACCGTTTTACTCTTTTTACGTGTTTTGACTCCGAATTTTAGGATTTTCACTAATCATACCCTTTAATCCATATTTATAATATAATTATATAATTTAGAATTATGAAGTGTTATAACATTCACACAGTCTGACAAGTAGAGCCTGTTTTATGTTAAAAATATTATTAATAATCAGATTCCCAAATTTCATGACATTTGGGCTACGTTTTCTTTTTCGATTAATGACTACAGGCTTCTCCCAAAACCCCCAAGCACAAATCGTCTTTATTATTTTTAAATCTGAAATTGCAACTGTTTTACCAAAATTTCTAAGATTTTACTATGTTAAACTAGACATCACAAGCTTTCAAACGATATATTTTATGTCTCAATCGGAGTTGTATTACTCCGGTTATATTTTTCGCAAGAAAACTGTGACAAACGGAATTTCCCACAGCAAGGAAGCAACTTCAAACTCAAACCGTGATCAATCCACTTGTCCCATGAATCTAAAATTTTACAAGGTTGTACCCCTATGTGCTAGCTTCACATAGGTCTAAATCTCACTCAATTTGGATCTCTGTAACTCAAGATATTGCGATTTTACTAAACAAGTGCATTGCTGTCATTTTTTTTCAGGCCGGAATCGATTCCTTCGAGACAGAATGCAGAAAATCTGCATTTTTCCTGTTTTGAAGGTGCTTCAATGGCATCCCAAAGGTTCTAACTTTGATATACCCACTTACAGAAGTTTAATTAACTTTATTACATTTAGATTAATGACCTCTAACACAAATCATCAAAGTTCCTCTTTTTTAATAACTCAAAACAATCTATTTTCATAAAAATGCAAAGGAAAGGGTGAGGGGTTACCTTGAGGCTCTTCAAAATAGAGAAAGGAAGGGGATTTGAAGTCTTTGATGTGATCTTAAGCTATTGCCAAGATGACACGCGAAATTTACAATCACCCCACTTGGTTCTTTTCTTCACAAGGTTACTTCTTTAATGCTCCCAAATGAGTATAAAAGACCCTAACCCACAGACAAAGAAGAACAGCCCCCTAAACCACCAAGCACAGCAGCCACAACACTTCAAGAAGGGATTTTTTGCTCCAAGGTGAAAGCTTTCAAGTTGTACAAGGATTGGTTAACTCAAAGAGGAAGAAAGGTGATATCTTGAGACTTTCTTGGCAAAAAAGCTATGGTGTTGAGGTCATCGGCGGACTTGTATTGTTGCAAGTGTGTGCAAGTGCATACATAGATTTTTGGAAAATAAAATAAAATATATTGAGTCCTCAACAAAAATTACATGACCCAATTTAAACTCTTAGAAAGAAAAAAAGTTGACTCTCGGTCCCTCTGAATTTCAAAATAGATCCGGTTAGTCGAAATCGTGGTCCCTCTAAAATTCAAAGAAGACCTACATTAATCCCTCAAAAAGACTAACATGGGTCTATTTTGAAATTCAAAGGGGTCACGAGTCAATTTTTTTTACTAAGGGATTAAATTGGGTCATGTAAATTTTGTTGAGGACCCAAAAGGTACTTTATTTTTGTAGTAAGTTCAAGTTTTCTTTTCTTTTTTTGTTTATATTCTTTTGTTTTTTTAATATATTTAAAACTTTCTTTTTTTTAAAAATTCGGGGACATTGTCCTGAACCTCCATCCCTAAATGTGCATACATAAATAATATTTCTTGGGTCCGCCACTGGTTGAGGTTGTGATCATATGGCTGCATGTTAAAATGGAAGATCACCTATGTGGGAGTTAGAAAAATGACCTGGGGTTTAGTGCTCTTCTCTATTTATAGATGTACTCACTTAAATCATCGGTATTAGTTCTAATAGCTCTACTAATTATTTTTCTATCAAACTTTATATTCTTAACCTAGATATTTTTCTAGAAATTATCATAATTTTACATTAATATTTCAAGACACTTTGCTGGTATTCATTTTCTACTGTGATATCGCCGATATTAGTTCTGACATTACTGCTTATTATTTTCATCCCAAATTTGATATTTTTTACCTGGATATTTTTATCTATATTTTTCTAGTTACTTCGTCGGTATCCATTTATACCGTGAAATACCCGGTGTTTGCACTTTCCTTCTGAAATGTGATTGAATATAATTATTTTTCATATTTAACTTATTAAATTTCTAATTTAACGACGCGGATTCTTAGAACAAGTATATTTCATTTGTCATGTAAAGCTTTTGTATTATCTAAAAATTGTCTTAATCTTTTATTAAAGAAAGAGAAGAAAGCGCTTGAGTTATGAAAGTTGTCTAGGTGTAGAGAGAAAAATGAGTGTCTTCTACTTTTATTCTTACAGAGAAAATAAAACATACATTAATCATTCTTCGACCCGGTTACAGATAAAAAATAATCAGATGTGTAACTGAAATTTAAATGACAATGTATAACTGAGTAAAATTCATACTAAAATATATTTTGAGTCCTCAACAAAAATTATGAGACTCATTTTATTCTCTTAAGAAAAAAAGGTCGACTTGTGATCCCTCTAAAATTCAAAATAAATCAGTTAGTCAAAATTGTAGTCCCTCTAAAATTTAAAGAAAACCTATATTAGTTCTTCAAAAAAACTAACAAGTTGATTTTGAATTTGAGAAAGAGTACGAATCGACTTTTTTTTTTCTAATTGATTAAATTGAACCTCGTGACATTTAATGAAGATCCAAAAAACACTTTACTCTAAAATTTAAGTGAATTAACCCACCAACTCCCTACAAAACGAGATAAACTAATCTTTTTAACTCACTTTTAAAAGAGGAATTTAAAGTCTTAATTATGAACTCACCCCAAACAAGATTGCCTCATGTGAAAGATATACGTGATTTATCCCAAAACCAAAAAACTCACTTCTAAAAGATAAGTCAACCCACTTAACCCGTTTTTTATGGATAGAAAACGAATCTGGGTGGATTCGCCTATTTTGCAAGCTCTGTTTGTAACTTCTCAATACAAGGTGAAAGAATGACAGATCAATTAAATAGCCAAAGTATCAGGATTACAACATTAAGATAGAAGTTCCTCAAACTAAACGTTTGAATTTGCCATTATTTGATGTGCATCTAAAAAAGATATTTTACACAAACATTTAACTACATGAATCGGGCCTCATGCTAAAAACTTAACATACAAAAACCCATGCGTGATTGAGTAAAGCATAATCTATCTACTCATTCTTGCATCCTGAAAGGTAGGATCGTGCCAACAATAAATACTTTTCTTTCTGCCTTTTGTACTCGTCGTATCGAAGGAAAAAGTAACCAAGATAATCAAAATCGATTGGGGACATCTTTGCCTGTTTATTCCGAAAAGAAATATTTATCAACAGTCATGGATATCATTGGTTAAGAAACAAGCATAAAAGAGGAAATATATTACCTGAATTAGCCCCCACAAAGCCCAGAAAAGGTGCGAGGCCAGTGCATATGTATTTGCCTCAACATACAAAGTTTCAAGGTCTTTCTCAGACACCTGTATTACAGATAAGTAAATAGTGATCTGAAAGAAGCACAGGAGATAGCCAAATAGAATGGGGAAGAAACAAACCAATAACTACCGAGTTATTGATCGAGAGATTTTGGGAAGAGAAACTTTTTTTATTGATTAACCAAAGAAAATACAATGCAATAGAAGAAAAGAGAGCTCCCAGCTTTGAGGAACCCCCCAAGCCCCTGCCACATGTGGCATATATCCCAAAGTATAGAGATATCCCCTATGATCAGTGGTGGAGCAAGAGGGGGCTAGGGAATGATTGCCTCCATTCGCTTTTCAAAACAACCTATTAGTATTTCCCAATAGTGCTCGAGTAGCCATACTTGACACCACCCATCATGTTATTACAAGAGTTATTTTGCTATGTTTTCCCCTAATTTTGATAAAAGGTAACGTTGTTTGAATTGATTTAAAAGATATAAAAATATTAAAGGTGTCAGGAGATTTAAATATAATAGAGTTGATTTTGTTTTCTAGTCAATCTCGAATATATTCGATATTACGAAAATATCAACATATAATAACTAAAAATATAAGATAAGAATAATTGAATTAGGAATTGAAAATTGGATAAAAAATAGATTTAAACATGAAAAATTAGTTTTATATTCTAACCAATCTTAAATAGTTTTGATTTCTACTAATCTACTAATATTGAAATAGATTGAAAGGAAAACTGAAAACTAACTAATTATCCAATCAGTTATACACACTAATAATTAACATATCCTTATGTGCATGAGTATTCTAAGAGCCTCTTTGGATCATCTTTTTTTTAAGCTAAAAGTTACTTTAAAGCTACAATTGAAAAGAAAAGCTTAAAAAAATTAAAAGCGGTTTGGTTATTACATAAAAATTTTAACTTAAAAGATCAAACATCATTTCAAGAAAAGTTGATAAGGACCTATTTGGTGTGATGTATAAGACCTGATAGTATAATCTTATACTATACGTTACAACATTTTTGTTGTTTGGTGTGACCATCGTATAATATAAGCTTATATAGCAGGATCCCTTTATACATAACTTAATCAGGCCTAGTAGGGTAAGATTAAGCCTGATAAGGGATTAATGTATTAACCAATGCAATTCTCAAGAATCAATATATTATTTTAATATTAGTATATTAAAATAAAAAATAATTTTTCAATATATAATTTTTTTAAATATTGGAGATTTTTATTTTTATAAAAATTAATATAGTTTTTGGACACATTGATCAACATATTTCTATAAAAAATAATATCATCTGATATATTTGGAAGAATTATGTAAATTCATTATTAAAAAGTATTTTTGACAAAAATATTTATTTTTAACCTATATAGTATTCTACAGTATATTACCAAATATTGGATAATATTATCTTATACAATATATTATCTTATACAATATCATGTCAAACGCTGGATAATATTAAAATTTAATCAGGTCTATATACAATCATGTCTTATACTATCAGGCCTTATCCTATACTATGTACCAAACATGCCCTAAGAGCTTAAAAAAATAAAACTCATCCTAGAAGCTTTTGACTTTTTTCTTCATTATAAAAAAAAAAACTCTATTATAACAGCTTTTGTAAAAACCTGTTGCTTCTGCTTATAAGGAGAAGATAAGCTGAAAAAAAAAAAAGGATCCAAGCAGGCACTAAATAATTGTATTATTAGCAAGCAATATGCGATAAGGCACCGTAAGATAAGGCTAAATCAACTCCAAGTCAAGTTTGGATGTCAGGAAGATATTTGGGCCTTTATGTAACAACAAACATCAGCCTTGGCAAACCAGCAACAGCATATGATAAACCCTTAGTTCATCAGGTTTTTCAGCATGAATTAGTATTAATTTGTGTGATTAAATGATGGAAAAAAGGTTAATGTCCTAGAAAGTCTGCAAATACAAGTTCAAGAAGCTTTGTTGAAAATTTACATTGTTTTTGTAGGAAAATCAAGCTCAAAAGGCAACTGAGAGAAGAAAGAAGATTCTGAAGAAGGAGAAAGTTCTAAGTGTTGAGCGCTAAAATGTCCAAGGCGAACGTTTTAGCGCCCTGCTACAGAAGGAAACCAAAAGTTGCTGGTCTGAAGCGCTAAAACGTCCAAGGAGAACGTTTTAGCGCGCTGCTGCACGTCAAAGCCAAAAATTTGCTGGTCTTCAGCGCTAAAACGTCCATGGAGAATGTTTTAACGCCATGCTGTTGGAAAAGTTTCTGGTCTTGAACGCTAAAACGCCCAAACCAGATGTTTTAGCGTTGAAGTCAGTTGGAAGCAGTTGAGTGCCCGTTGAAGTTGGGCGCTAAAACGTCCAACAGAGAGCGTTTTAGCGCCCGTGTTAGTTTCTGGCTGTTTTTCAGTTGCAACTTGTAATTTATAAGAGGGGCTTTTCATATTTTTCAGAGGCAATTCTCTTCAGTTCTAGACACATTTCTCTGACTTCCAAATTCTTTAGGATTAGTTCTAGTATTATAGTATCTAGTACATTTTTATGTAATTCTACTTGAAGATTGAAGACTCAATCATCATGGATACTGAGTTTGATCTTTCATCTTCTATTGTTTTATGTTTAGTCATGTCTGAGTAGAGTCCCTTGTAGTCTGATTCAATGGAACTCAATGATAAATTTATGTATGTTTGATTCATATGATGAATTTCTTTTATGTGATGATGTGAAGTTGTTTGCATGAATTCTTTCTACCAAGGGAGTAGTGTAGAACAGGAATGTTTACACTACTCCTGTGTCTAGCAATTTCATCATCAGGATTCTAGTACTCAAGGGATTGATGCAAGGATTCTAATGTGATCTTAAGACCTTAGTGTTTAATGCATATATTAAGAAAGGAATCACCAAAGGATTGGGGTTTCTGATTAATGTATCAATCAGGGTAGTAAGGGATTACATCTTGATGATAAGTAAAAGGTTGATTAACATCACATGGAAGATAATTCATCATATATATTTGTTTGTTGTTGTGGGAAATTGTTTTCTAACTACTTGTTTTATATAATTTCAATTCATATTTTAGTTATCTTACCAATTTTAATTACAATTCAATTTCTTGGTGACAAAACACTCATGATTTTAAAGAACTTTTGTTTGATTCAACTTAAATATATATGATTAGTTGGTGTTTGAACACAAATCCTCGTGGGAACGATCTTTACTCATCATTTTATTACTTGTGTGACTAGTACACTTGCTAAATTCACAACAGCATACATCAATGCAACATTAAACCATAAAGCCAACCTAATATTCTTGATGCAACAAAGGGATCGAGCCCAGAAGGAACCAAACAATAGTGGGAAGCCTCAGAATATAAGCAGGTGGAGTAACATGCAATCACCACCACTAGCCAAATCAATTTGATCGGCAACAGTACTGAGTATTAATTTGACAATTTCCATTCAAAATGCATTAAAGAGACTAATCACGAATGGGTAAGTGAATTTTGCAGCAAGAAGAGGAAGAGGAAGAAATGACCAATTTTATCCCCCCCCCCCCCCCCCCCCTCCTCTCCTTAAGTAAAATAAAAATAAAAGTGCAAAGAGCATTTATTTCTAAAACAATCAGGCAACAAAAAGATCATTGCAGAAAAATCCAATTAAGTCCTATTACGACATGGAGTCAGAAATTTAATCAGGTTATCCATCCATATTCTAAACAACACTGAGTTATTTTTTAATTCTGAACAGAATCAACTAAATATGTCACTCACATGTCTGACAGTGAATAAGATGATCATGGCCATAAATGAAGACTGTGCATCTCATTTTAGAGATTATTGATAATCTGGAGACAATGAAATAAAATATTAATCCCTTCACTGCAATTAGTACCTCGTGTGGTCTGTCAGGTTGTATGTAATGCCTGAAGAAATGATATTGTTCATTCATATTTGGGTACCTGCGTTAAAAAAATGTTCAAGAACCAATAGACAAATCATGACTAAGTAAAGGGAGAGAAGCAAGAATAAAGAACTTACAAGTCGTAGTCACATTCAAAGCCAGCATATTCTGCAAAGTGGTTTCCTATATCGTAGCCTCTGTAGTTGTACGATGCATATTCATAATCAATGAAGTAAAGTTTATCTGGAGATTTGTCAGAACAAATTAAAGAGATTTAAAGATAAAAAGCTCATATGAATTAGTGAATAAGCTGGTTATCTAAGAATTCTCTCTTCACATGTGAATGTTACACTACTTCTGATGCCAAATGCCAATTCCAGAGGCATGTCTGTCTCCTTACTACCTTGATATAAACTGATAGAATATATTCACAACATTAATTCCTGTTATAAAACAAACTCAGTAAGTTTTAGTTCGTGATTAACCTTGTATGATCCATTTCTTCTGCTTTAATTTAACTCCTTTACAATGAAAAAGGGTCTTAAAAGCCAAGCTCATGATCCTAACTGTAAAGTAATTTTGCACTCAACCATTTAGCAACCGTTGAAGAAAAACATGGATATAAAAACTTCTCATTGACAAACAATGCAGCCCAATTACATTTAAACTTGCTCCCTAATCAGTAATATGTAAACTGCAGTATCAGTTGGCTAATGAGTCATGTCTTTTCAATTAAATGCACATATTTTAGGAAGAAGAAAGATAGAAGTAAAAGAACAATTTACATATATATCGTTTTTTGGTAAAGATGAAGATGTAGTGAAACTAATGAACTCTCAACTCTCAAGAGTGGAAAGCATAAGAAAAAGTTATAGGATAGGTTATACTTACCACCATTCTTACTTACCACCAAATCTTAACCGTTAATTTCTGTCAATCTAACGGTTATAATTTATTGGGTCACACTTATTAATTAATTATTAAGTCCCGATAAATTATAACCGTTAGATTGGTGGAAATCAACGGTTAAGATTTGGTGGTAAGAAGTGGTAAGAAAAAATGGTGGTAAGTATCTCTCAAAGTTATAAATAAAAAGAAGCAAACAAAATATGCTTTAACATCTGCAGTCACTTCTATAAAAAATAAAATAACATAAAATCTACAGTCAAAGGTAGAAGCACAAATATGCTTATAATCAAGGTATGTAGATACCTTCTTCATGATTAATCATTATATTTCCAGAAAGCAAGTCATTGTGAGCTAAAATTACAGGAGATTTGAGATGATCACACAATCCCTGTTGTAAAATTAAAATAATAATCTGTCAAAAGAAGAAATTGCTGACAAACATAAAATGTGTCATACACTCGCTAATTCAGCTTTTTTAAATTTTTTCTAAAAGTTATTCATAAGCTACCTTCATGAACACAAAAAGAGAGATGGAAAACAATGATATGTTATATCCCTAAGCCGGCAAACTAAGGCACATTTTGTCTTAGCCCCTGTCCTAATATAGTTAGAATATTTAGCAAAACGTGACTGGATATTAATGGCACAAAAGATGGCAAGAGTCACTGCTTAAAATATAAACTCAAATCTTTCAAATCTAGTAATAGCATTGGATTGCCAAAGATGGTGGTAATCTATGTTCATTTTGACTCCAACATTATAATGAAAGATAAATACTAAGATAACAGCCAAGAAATGTATGGAAAGAGCTAGCACCTTGAGCTCAGCAATTTCATCATGAACTTCCCTGAATGAAATTGTTTTATAAGTCTTCTGCTTTTTACTATCATCAAATTCAAGATCAGATGCTGTGAAAGAAAAAAATAAAAGTGGCAACTCAAATATTATTAATACCAATCTTTCAAGCATATACACTAGCTCTAGAAAAAAGCAGATTGCGTATGAGGTTACTCTAGCTATTGATTCATAGTTTTAATATGTTGAAGGAGCACTTTTCACATAAAATTAAGGAAACAGAATAAGAAATATAAGGACCTTTAATATAAAAAAGTGTGGACACCAAACATATGCATAAGTAAATCTATGAGGCCACAACCCCTAGAGATCCTTCACAAGGCAATACAGATAATTCTAGTGTCGTAAGCTATTTCTCTCAAACTTAAAATCAAAGAGTGCTAAAACTAAGACGGCTAAAGGGGAGCTCCAAACTTTGGCCAAGAACAAAAGGCATGATCAAAATCCTATAACTCAAAATCAGCACAAATCAAATTCAGTTCAAACAAAACTACAGAAGTAACTGAAGAAAAGGAAAGAGAAGTGAACAAAGACCACATTATTACAGAGAATAAAATATAAAGGACCTTTCTCAAAGAACTTCCAAATATCGTTCCATAATTGAGGTTCCTTAGAACCTGGAATTTCCACATGATGAAATCTTTTTAGTTGCTTGGCTATTTTAGCAGCCAGCTTTGGCTCCCGCATATCTGCCATGGAAAAAATGCATTCGTGATGCAACTAAACAGGTTGCAGCTATACACCAAAAGCATAAACAATTAACTGAGAGCCAAAATCATATTCTAACACAATGGCTTGCGACATATATGCACACGTGTATAGATCGATGTATGTATGCGTTACGATCCCATTTGCAAGGTATGGGACTTGGAGTCCCACATTAGTTGTATGGGTAACTAATGTGGAGTTTATAAGACCTTAGGCACTCCCATTCTTTAAGCTAGCTTTTGGAGTGGTGCATCCCAAGGTTCTTATCAAATGGTATAAGAGTCTTCCACTATGCCTCCCGGTTGCAATCGAGCAGCGCGGGTGGTGACGCCGGCATTGCAGTGTTCCCCCAGGGCTAGTAAAAGACTAGCGCGAAGCCAGTCCGCGTGGGCACCAGGGCTGCAGAGCATGGTGGAATGTTACGATCCCATTTGCAAGGTATGGGACTTGTCCCACATTGGTTGTATGGGCAACTAATATGGGTTTTATAAGGCCTTAAGCACTCCCACCCTTTGAGCTAGCTTTTGGGGTGGTGCTTCCTAAGGTTCTTATTATTATCCATGTGTTGTTTACAGATGCTCAAGTTTCTGACAAATATTATTAAGAACACCCAAAAGCAGGCAATTTAACAAAATCTATTGGCCTTTATAAACCTGACATTGTTACTAATTCTCTAAACATGAAATTTTCCCATTTGTACCTGATGGAGTTAGAGTATGCGCATTTATAAAAGATTGCACCATGCCATTTCCAAATATTCCAAGCCACTTAGCACCAAATCCTGCAGCTGTGATGTATTTGGTGGCCTAAAACACCAAATTTCAGAAGCAATTACAAGGTAGAATTTTAAGAAAACTACTGAGTACAACCGAGTATTTAGCAGGCATAGTCACGAAAATAAACTAAAATGCGCCATTACAGTTCATATTTTTCCCTGATCACAACCGAGTGCACGTGTTCAGAAATATAAATGTAAAGTAAATGTACAAATGCAAACATGGTTTTTCTTTTCTCCTCTTTTTTTGTTACAAATAAAGAAAGAGTTTTGAACCACTACATCTATCTATAAGGGAATTATGTTTGCTTATGTGGAGTTTAATGTTATTGGAAGACGAGGTTTGCCTATCCCTTCCTAATCTTTATTATTATTATTTTTTTAATTTGACCTTATCGCAAGCACTCTCGGCAGAACAATGATATCTAGAAAAACATTTTAAAGAAATTGATATATTATACATTAAAAGCTATTCTTAAATTCTAATTCCCAAAAACTAAAAATAACTGGAATCTTTATATGCAGCATACTAATCACCTAAAAACTAAATATTTTTGTATTATTTTCTTCTAACGCTGCTTCAAAAAGATGAGGGGGGAATAAATAAAATAAAGGAATGAATCATTGTATTGCCAAATTTAGTTTGTCTTGATTGAAGCATAGTACAACTCAAAATGAAATTTTCAAATTCAACTTGCAACGATCAATACATGAAAAACCCCAATAATAAAATTACCATCCAGAACAATATTATCATGCAACTTTTAATTATTCATCAGCTAGAGAAAACCATTTTGAGAAAGTAACAAAAACAAAACAGAGTAAGATTTGACTCAAAGAAAGTATGAAGAAACGTTCAGTGACTTGGGTAGTTTTGTATGCAATCATCCAGTACAGAGTCTAACCTGCAATTCCCGTTGACGATCAATAATGTACTCAGTGTTCGGACCATACAATCTGATGGTTACAATATCATCAATACAATTTTCTTGTTTAACAGAAACCTTCAGTACTGACAGATAATGACAAATTTATCAGTTAGGTTCTATATCAACACCAAAGGGGTAATGATGAATAAAAAGTAATTAAGCAACCATATGAAAGTCAAGCTGATTATTTTTCTATAGCCATTCAGCTCATGGAAATTAATCTTAAGAGTAAGAATAAATTTAAATTTATTTTTTAGGGATAAGATGAGAGCAAAAAGAAATAACTCACACAAATTTGTGATGCCTCCAGAAATTTTCTCAACATCAAAGCAAGAATCATCCAAATTTGACCAGGCCTTGAACATATCCTTGCACAACTTACTGCATACAATCACAAGAGAAAATAATAACATGAAAACGACCAAAAAGAGATGTTGACTCGGGGATGCATGGGGGAGTAACTTTTAATTGCAAAATAAACCCAACAATCAAGTATTCAACATCATAGGACAGTTTACACAACCCACACAACTCCAAATCCAAAGGAATTGAATGGTTCCAAAAAAATGGAACCGCCAAATCCGAATTTGAGTCTGCCAATATCCCCTCCCATTTTCCCTCAATTTCCTAGCATCCAGGCGAAACCCGTTCAAGAAAAAAGAAAATAAAAATTACAATGAAAGGATTAGAGTTACGAACAGGACAAGAGGTTTCATTTGGGGAAGAGAGAGGGAGGGATCAATTGTAAGATGGGACGGAAGAATCTGCGAGGCATAATCTTTGCTAGCTTGCTGTGCCACTTCTACGGCATTCCAGATCTTAACCTCTGCACCCATTTATGCAATTAAAACGAACCCAAACGGAAGGAGAAGGATAAATTTAACAAGGATGGTTTCAAAGGAGCAAAAATACAAATAAACGGGGATTGCAGAGAGGTCGAGCGAGGGTGGCGATTGTATCTCTTGTCCTTTGCTTTCAAATGGAGCTATGTCCTTTGGTGTTGGAAGATTGTTTATTTTATTGTGTCCTACAAAAAGACCAATATGGGCATCACACCACACGCACACGCACACGTTGTTATATCTATATCTATGGTGTGAGATTCAGTCTGCATTCCTCCGCGTTATTTAGATTTGACTATTTTTTTTTTTTTTTTTAACCAAAGGACACGTGGTACCGTGTTTGAAGTGCAAACAAGCTTTGCAGGAAATTTAGATGTACTTTGGTCTTAATGAAAAAATAGTTTGTTTTAAGGGCTTTGGTTTTGTCATGTTACATGAATAATTTTTTTTTTCCTATAAAGAAAAGACAAACTAGATAATAATAAAGAAAGTGAAAGATGTACTCTTTTCAATCAAGGATTTTGTGTTGTCTCAAGTGGTTGCATGACACCAGTTTTTTTCCTACAACATTATTCTTATTTATCCCTTATTTTAAATTAAAAAGTTAAATCAAATCATGGTACTTCAACTGAACATGAGAGAGATGAGTAGATCGAAGCGACCGAGCGAGAATATATGTATCATCCTCTTCTGAGAAAGGATTTAAAATTTTAATCATGGATTCGTCTTGAACATAAATTACCTCCCATGAAAGATACTTGTCGTTTATTAAAAAAAAAATATTAAAAAGTTAATCTCTCAACTAGAATGATATTACCATAATATTCAAGATTTTGCCCAAAGAAATTCCCAGCTATACTACTTGCTCTTCCCTTCCTATCCGTTTTTTATTTTTTTAGGTAATCTGTGGAAGGAGAGTTGAAGAGAGATTTAATAGGGAGATTGAATATTACTTGGATTTCCTTTTCCAGAATTGAAATTTGTGGTTGGAATTTGAAGAAAGAGATTGCAAAGAAAGATCCGAGAATATTTTGCAAAGCACATTCAAATAATTTTATTTTTTAGAACGTAAACTTCTGGACAAGAAATTGAAAATAGTTTAAATCGAGGAGGACTACAAATTAAAAAACAAGTTTATAATGTCCTTAATATTTTTCTTAGAATTAAAAATGTCCCTATTTTTTTAATCAATAATATCCATAATGTATAAAATACTCATATCTTTCCTTAACTTTAAATAACACTATTGATTTTTTTTTATTGTAATTATTTTGCCTTCTGATTAATTAGCTGAAAAAAAACACAAAGCAGTATAATTTAGCTTCTATGTTAATTTTTTTCCCAAATATTAGAATTCTTTATGCAGTATTGTTTACATTCATTTCGCCGGGTAAAATCTTATCAATTATTTTATACAAAGACAATGATTAAAAAATTAAGATATAAATAATACGTAATAATAAAAATTCATAACTATTAATGACCAATTATTATAAGGTAGTGCATGACAACCTTTCCGGAATTAATTCTTTTTTAATTTCTGTTCTCGGGAACAGAAATGGATAGGAAACTCGTTTGGTAAAGCCGGTTTATTCTTTTGTTCCTGGGATGAACCGGTTTAATTTTTGTGTTGGACAACAGAAAAAAGAATCAAATTTTTTTTATTTTTTTGGTCCCGAGCACAAAATGAGAAACACTTATCTCTCTCAATCACTCTCCACCTCTACCATCATCACCACCACCACCACCATCATCCAACACGACTGTCGCCACTAACGTCGTTGCCGTCGTCACCACCACGATGCCACCGCCACCATTACCACCACCTTCATCCATCACTACCACCATGCCACCGTCACCACCACCACAACTATCACTGCTGCCACCACTACCACCACTATCACCGTCACTGTTACCACCATCATTACCACTACCGCCATCAACCACCACCACCATCATCGTAACCACTGTCGTCACCGCCACCATCACCATCACACGCCACTGCCACCACCCTCATCGCCACCACTACCACCACCATGACGCCACCGCTATCATCACCACCACTGTCACAAACCACCACTACCATTGCCGCAGCCACTACCGTCACCACCACCGCCGTCATCGCCGCCGTCACCACCAACCACCACCATCATTGTCACAACCATTACCGTCTCCACCACCACCTTCGCCACTATTACACCACCCCCGCCACTACCATCACCACGTCATCGCCACCACTACCACCGCTGCCACTGTCACCTACCACCACCGCCACTGTCGCAGTCACTGCCACCACCACCACCATGCCACTGCTACCATTGTTGCCGCCACCAACCACCATACCCACCATCATTGTCGCAGCCACTGCCGTCACCTCCACCACCACCATCCCCACCACTACCGCCGCCACCGCCATCATCGCAGCCACTGTCGTCACAATCACCACCACTATTGTAACACCCCGTGTTAGCCCAGTTTGTTAACATGTCATCGTATTAAGCCACGCTTAATATAAAAATGCGGAATAACTTTTTCTGTTCAATTATGACGTCATTATACTTAGCCAAGTTGAATTATTAAAATCCAATTACAAAATATCGCATGTATGTAAATTGCAGAAGACATCTAACTAAAATACCTCAATATATTAATAACAGTGAGTATCTAAAATCACGTAACTACAACACGTAGTCCGGACATAATCCTGATACATTATTACAACTCGAATCTAAATCTAGACATAGTCAAATCAATGCGGCATGGACAATACTCATGCTCACTAAATAAGGCAACAAAGCCAACAAAGTCTCAACAGCAACAACATAATCATAGCTAATCAATAAAATAGCAGCAAATATAATTAAGCATCCAATATAATCAGCATAACATCATATAATTCAACTAAGCTCCGGCCTCTTGCCGCTTGAGGTCTCAACCCCCGCATTACTTGTACTTGAAATGGTGCTCCAAACGTGGGGTGAGATCTCTAAAAAGAAATCTCAGTAAGACAAGGAGTCCTCAAGGATCTTCCACCCCAAGCTCACTTATATGTGCAATATAAGTTCTAAAGCAGTTTACACAATTTATATAAGTTTCGAAGTCAGTGTAATGCACAAATAACCATGTCATGTGTGTCAATATAATCTACTGGCCAGAGAAATGCAGGATATACGTCTATCTCCTACAAATAGTGCAAGACGCTACTTGCATCCACCCCAGTCTCACCATCTTGTATGACGCTACATACTCAGGCTTACCGTCAAAGTGGAACAACACATGCATATTATAAGGCCCTTACACATAACAGTTCAAAAGCATTCCAATCATCAAAGCATGAAAACATCATGCATATAAACCATTCCCCTATGGGGTATGGTGGAACCAACAATGGCTAAACCGAGGACACGAAAGCTTACCTTGCAAGCTAGCTATCCAAACCAAGAGTCCACACAAGCTCAAGGCCCACAAACAGCACAATCACAATCTGTTAATACAATACTTAATCATCAATAAACATTACTTAAGATTACACTAAGTGATTAAGGTTTTCATACTCATTTTAACTCATTTCATGTTGTTTCTGCAGGAGGTATTCGAATACTCCACGAGTAGTATTCGAATACTCCAGCTCTCTAGAAAGTATTCGATTACTTTCATTTAAGTATTCGAATACTACCAAGTATCTGAATACTTCTCCCCCCAGTATCCGAATACCACAGTATCCGAATCCCAAACCTCACTGTATTCGAATACTTTCTAGTATTCGAATACTTCTTCAAAGGTATCCGAATACTTTTCTTCCCAGAAAAGTATTCCAATACTCATGCAAGGAGTATTCGACTACCAGTTTAAAAATACAGTTGCAACTCTTTACCAAATACTCTAAGATTTTAATATGTTAAACTAGACATCTCAAGCTTTCCAACGACATATTTTATTTCTCAATCAGAGTTGTATAACTCCGGTTATGATTTTTGCAAAGTTCCTACAACAAACTGAATTTCCAGCAATAGGGTCGGGAATTCAAACATAAACTGAGAGCAATACACTTATACAATGGATCTGAAAATTTACATGGTTATATCCCTATGCGTTAGCTTCACATAGATCCAAACCTCACTCAATTTAGAGCTCTGTAGCTCGAGATATCGCAATTTTACTAAACTAGGTCGTTGTTGTCTCGCGAATTATTCGATTACTGCATTTTTCCAAAAAGTATTTGAATACTGCCCGAAAAGTATTCGAATACTTCTTCGACAGAATGCAGAAAACTGAGTTTTAAAGGTATAATTGACCTCCAATGATCCAAAATCGATTTGTAGTCCAAGAACTCCTTAAACAGATGTTTATCAACATGCTTAGGACTCAGAAACACATTCCTTTATTCAATTGATCGAAGTTTTACTTTTTAACCGATTAAACAAGCTTAAAATCATCAAAAGACAAAGAGGTGATCATGGTATACCTCTAAGCTCCAAAAATACAAAAATGAGACACCATAAGGCTCCTCAACACAGCACCAAAGTTCTGTCACTTCCCAAATACGAAATGCACTACAAGCTAGGACCTTTCACCATCAAAATGGCTCCTTGAAGCCTCCAAAGACAAGTAGGTGGCTTCCTCCATGAGAACCACCAACTCAGCCCCCACAACCTCGCAAACTCAAAAGCTACACTCAGAAATGGAGCACCTTTCAACCTCTCAAGGCTTAAGCACACTCAAATATGAAGCCTTTATGAAGAAACCAAGAGTAAAGATAATCTCTTGAAGGTTTTGTATGGAGAAGAAGGCTAAGGGAGGGTGAAGGAGAGGGTGGCAGCCAAATGCATCAGAAACCTCTACGTAGGCACATCAAAATCTAACCTAGGTTATTGTGCAAATGGCTATATATAGCCCACTTAAGTTTAATCACACAGTAATAGCATTAATAGCTACGCTTAGAATTTAAATCCCAAACTTAGGATTCTGAACCTACTCATTTTTCTAGGATTTATCATATTTTATTTTATTTTTCGCAGCACCTTCCCGGTACGCGCTTTTCCATAGCCAGTATCAGTTCTGGCATCAATTCTCATTATTTTGACCTAAAACTTGTTTTACTAGTCCTATATAATATTCTAGGAATATTCATGCACTTATTATAATTTTTCGGGA